AATTTANAGACGCTACGTGGTCACAATTTTTGCTAACATTACAATTATAAAGGAAATAATATATCAGGTTACAGTTTATACTTAAAAGCAAGTCTGAACCTGTAGGAAACAGGTCTGAACCAGTAGAGGACAAGTCTTAAATTGAGGTGACCTTGACTCTAGGTGACCTTGACCTCAGACGATCAGAGGTCATGACCTTGACATGACCTTGGTGTGACCTTGACCCTAGATGCCCAGGGGCCGATGACTTTGACTTGACCTTGTCCCCAGACGACCTGGGGTCATGACCTTGACTTGGCCTTGACCCCAGACGATCAGAGGTCGATGACCTTGACTTGACCTTGACGTGACCTTGTCCCCAGACGACCAGAGATCGATGACCTTGACATGACCTTGACCCCAGACGATCGAAGGTCGTGACCTTGACTTGACCCTGGCGTGCCCTTGTCCCCAGATGACCAGTGGTCGATGTCCTTGACTTGACCTTGACGTGCCCTTGCCCCCAGACGACCAGAGACAATGACCTTGACATGCCCTTGACTTGACCTTGACCCCAGACGACCAAAGGTCGATGACCTTGACTTGACCTTGTCCCAAGACGACCAGAGGTCGATGACCTTGACTTGACCTTGGCGTGATCTTGTCCCCAGACGACCAGAGGTCATGACCTTGACTGGACCTTGACCCCAAACGACCAGAGGTCGATGACCTTGACGTGACCTTGGTCTAGAATGATGCAATACTGGATAAGAATGACGCAATGCTGTTAAAGGAAATAATATATCAGGTTAAAGTTTATGCTAGCGTGACAGTATTAAAGGAAATAATATATCGGGTTACAGTTTATGCTAGCGTGACAGTATTAAAGGAAATAATATATCAGGTTACAGTTTATGCTAGCGTGACAGTTTTAAATGAAATAATATATCAGGTTACAGTTTATGCTAAAAAACAGGTCTGAACTTGTAGAAACTTGACCTCGAATGCTGCAATACCAGATAAGAATGACGCAATGCTCTTTGGAGGTCATTGACCTGCCCTTATCGTGATTGAATTCTAAATTTACCACCATCTGGCCATATGACGTCACTTACATGCCGCCATGACACTTCCTGTATGACGATACTTCCATGCCGCCATGACACTTCTTGTATGACGTCACTTCCATGCCGCCATGAAACTTCTTGCATGCCAACACCCACGCATCTCTTGCACAACGACAANGGAAATATAATTTATCACTTACCAGGCTAGCTTTCTCATAGGATATCACTCAATTTAATATAAATTGTAATTTAAAGATTAAATGTTTTTTTTTTAAGTATTCGGGATTTAAAATGAAAATATAATTTAATTTTTTTTTAATGATTTGATTGACAACTAAATTAATTCTGTCAATTTTGCACAAATAACATATGAATTTTATTAGAACATGAGTTCTCATCTCAAAAGTCGGTACATATATTAAATTTTTACTGGTAACTGAATTTGAAAAAAGAATTAAATAATATAGTGTGATCTGGTTTCAAACTTTCTATTGACATAAAGATGACAAACAAATTACTAAATTTTTCTATTCCCTATTTAACCTGCTCAACCTTATATCTATTCTATAAACATGTACTTATTATCTTCTAAGAATAATTATTGTCACTCACTTAATATCTATTAACTATCCTTCTTTCTTCCACTGTCCTTGACCTCTTAAGTCGGCACTTTCCCTCTGTAGCGTCTCTCCGGTCCTCTCCCTTCTAGGCGTCCACTTACTCTCTCCTTGTGGTTGTCTAGATATGCTAGATGGGATGTCAACGTACTTGCTATATTTTACACCAGTTGTGGCTCGGAACGGGTTGTCTGAGCTTTGGCTAGTGTTGTGACCTTAACATAAACGCCGATAAGGTTAGAGCTGGTCGTGAGGTTCGTAGATGTTGGGGTCTATCTCATCCGAGATAGGTTCGAAGTAAAGAAAGTAATGCCCGAGCAATATCAAAATTTAGAAAAATTGAGGAAAGTGGGAGATAATTAAAAAGAATTTAAATTTAATAAAAAAAAATTGAAAAATTTATGTCAGGCGCCAGTAAATTTTAAAGTGAATCTACAAACTTTTGTTTCCTAACCGGATTCCTCTTAAATCTAGGTCAGGTTTGTATAACTGTGGATCCTTTCTGATCTTGAAGGTAAGTTGGAAAAACAACTTAGGAAAAAATATTTCCCTTAAGTAATAAAGGACTAAGTCCCTATTTGAATTTAAAATTTTTATAAAAAAAAATTTTCAAAAAATTGTTTTTTGAAAAAAAAACAGTGACTAAAAAATAAATTTTATTCAGAAAATATATTTCTGAGGTTAGGTGCGAAAAGTAACTTTTGAGTTAAAAAAAAATTTTATTTTGAAAAATTTTCCGAAAATCCTTTTTTCGAAAATTTATTTTCGACTTTAAAAAAAATATTTTTTTATTATATTATTAAAACTTGGGAAGGTTTTTCTTCAAGAAAAACAAGTTTAAAAAAGGTATAAACTATATTACAATAACTGTACAAATAATATTTTTCTAGAAGAGAAAAATGACAATGAAATTAACACTGTTAGAAACCTATTAATCTAACAAAATAAGTAATAGTGATTCGCTGGAATAATCTCTGCAACGAAAATCCAGGAAACAACAAATTCNTTCCTGTGTGACGATACTTCCATGCCGCCATGACACTTCTTGTATGACGTCACTTCCATGCCGCCATGAAACTTCTTGCATGCCAACACCCACGCATCTCTTGCACAACGACAATGCCCACAAGAAGCCGCTGAAGGAGCGATGGACACTGGCCATCGAGTTCGTGACGTCATTTAGTGTGGCGCAGAAAAAGTGGCGCAGAACCGGCCTCATATATCTACTGCTGTGACCTTAACATAAACGCCGATACAGTTAGAGCGGGTCGTGAGGTTCGTAGGTGTTGGGGTCTATCTCATCCGAGATAGGTTCGCAGCAATGAAAGTAATGCCGGAGCAATATCAAAATTTAGAAAAATTGATTAAAGTGGGAGATGATTCAAAAGAATTTAAATTTAAAAAAAAAGTTTGAAAAATTTATTTTAAAGTGAATCTACAAACTTTAGTTTCCTAACCGGATTCTTCTTAAATCTAGGTCAGGTATGTATAACTGTGGATCCTTTCTGATCCTGAAGGTAAGTTGGAAAAATAATTTTCTGCAAAAATATTTTCCTTGAAAAATAAAGGACTAAGTTCCTTTGGGAATTTAAAATTGTTTTAAATAAAAAAAAATTTTCAAAAAGTAACAGTTTTTTGTAAAAAAAACTAAGTTTGACTAATAAAAAAGTTTATTCAGAAAATATATTTCTGAGGTTATATGCGAAAAGTAACTTTTGAGTTCAAAAAATTTTTATTTTGAAAAATTATCCAAAAATCTTTTTTCGAAAATTTATTTTCGACTAAAAAAAATATTTTTTTATTATTATTATTAAAACTTGTGAAGGTTTTCTTCAAGAAAAGCAAGTTTAAGAAAGGGTACAAAATATATTACAATAACTGTACAAATAATATTTTTCTAGAAGAGAAAAATGGCAATGAGATTAACACTGTTAAAAACCTATTAATCTAACAGAAATAAGTAATAGTGATTCGCTGGAGTAATTTCTGCAACGAAAATCCAGGAAACAACAAATTCAAACTACCAGACCGTAGAAAAAAGAGTACTAGGTATATGAAAATGAACGTTAATAAACTTATTCAACTTATTACAAAAAAATCGCGGAGCTTTTACTAACCACTTTTTATGTAATCCTCTGTATAATCCATTCGGCTTTTCCGAAAAATTGCACTAAAAACCTTTGTCGGTTTAAGTTCCGTTCCAACACTTTAATTACTGAAGGTAATTAGCCAATTTAACGAGCACTTTGTATGTCGAAGACTGGTAAGACTCGGAGCAATCACACAATGTTACTTTCGTAGATTTATTTCACTTTATTCCCCGTACTTGCGGATGAAGACTAACTGGTAACTTGTTGAGAAGAACTAGGTTGTAAACTAAGAATGGAACCTTTTTGAACTTGGGCGATGAACTGAATTAGAGCAATCACACAATGTCACTTTCGTAGATTTATATCACTATATCCCGTACTTGAGGATGAAGACTAACTTGTAACTTGTTGAAAAGAACTTAGTTGAAAACTTAGTATTGAACTAAAGAACTTCGGCGATGAACTGATTTCAAAAATTAAAATCCATCCCTTTTATTTAGAAATTTTAGGTCATTAAGGCTGATTCTCCCCTAACTATTGCGTATTCTAGAAAATTTCCTCAAAATTAGCAAAAGTAAACTGAGGGTTTCGATACTCGATTCTGATTGGTCCCGGCCTTGGCGAGGAGCAGAATACTGACATCTGATTGGCTGAAGGCTTCAGTATAAATATTAAAGTGGTGTAAAACGCAAATTTCGATTTTGTTTCGTTCATTTGCATAGTAGCCCTTCGGTCTACAACAGGGACGCCCGGCCTCCGCAGCTCACTCTCGCCACAGCCTCGCACCGTGCAACATCGCACCAAAGCACTGAGATTTCCTGTTATTACCAAATACCTCTGTTTTATTCCTTTACCTACCTCATACTCCCGAGAATGACTCTACAAATAAAACAACCAAATAAAAAGAATTCAAAATAAAATAAAAATAATAGAAAAGATCAATAGGAAAGGAAAAGAAAACAAAATAAAAAGAAGTTAAAGAAAAGAAAAAGAAATAATAAAAAGGGAAAAAGAAAGCTCCCACGAAAACAGCCAATTGCAAAAAGAGCCGGCGGGCCAACATTGTGGAAAAGAGCCAAAGGGCCAAATACACGTACATTCACACACACACAGTTACACACAAACCCACGGCGGCCAGTCTAGGCTGTCCGCCGACCTAAAAAGAATTCGCTACTTATAAAAAGAATTCCGTAAACAAGGTAAATTCGAGTAAATCGCAAATCATATTACTAAACGAGGTCACCGATATGGAGAACCGCGACGTAACGGGGCTTGGGGCTTTCGGCGGTTACCAGGAGGGGCTTCGAAGGAGACATGGCGCCCAACGACGTGGGGCAGGAAGCGCGGATGCACTTCACCGGCCCCGAACGGTAGAACAGCGGTCGATGTGGGATTTCACAATGGATGAAACCCCGGTTCCACCGTCGAGTACATTCGTAAGCACGGAAACATCGGCACGGTCACTCGCTAACGCAACTACCATTACTAACGTCCCAGCTAGGACGGCGGTCGAACAAGATACCGCGAACGTAGTAATGTTTGAGGCTCTTACAGAATTTACGCGTCAGGGAACGGCTCTACGCGCGATGGAAATACGGGAAGAACCCGAATTCGAATTCTCAGGCAGCATCGTCGAAGACCCGGAGGAATATATCAACGCCTTGGAAGCATGGTTCATACAGAAAAGTGTCTCACCGGCAAGGCAACAAATGCTAATCAGGCGCACACTAACCAAAGACGCCTATAAATGGTTCGACGAAATTTCAACGCCCGGTTTACAATGGGAATTGTTTAAATGTCAATTTTTGGCCCGATTCAATTCTACAGCGGTGCGTTCGTCCCTGCTCAAACAGTTATACGGACAACCGCAGCGACCGGGAGAAACGGCGTACGCATTTATAACAGCGAAGTGGGGTCTGTTTAAACGACTGGTGCCAGATACACCGGAGGCGGATCGAATGGAAAGCATACGGGAACTCCTCCCGCCGCAGACGAGAGTGGTCACACGCGGGATTATCTTTAGCGACGTCCATCATATGATCGAAGTCGTGGCCCAGGCGTGGAAGTCGTGGCGAGGCTAGGCAGAAAATACGGTGCCGCGTGGAAATCCACCACCACCCGGGAATGGTCTACCTTCGGCGTGTCGTTTCTGCCAAGGACGGCACTTCCACAGAGATTGTCCATCCAGGCAGGGAAACTGGATGAGGGCCGGGGCACCTTCCCAGTCGCAGGGCGCCCGGCCCGAAGAAGATCGACGCGAGAGGCCACCCCAGGCGGGCCCGAGCGCCAACTAACTATAGGCCTTAACCAAGCGACGAGAGCGTGAGTGGCCCCCTACCGCGAATACTAGTTTCGACAGAGGATAAGACGCTCTCGGCCTTAGTCGATACGGGGGCTAACCGAAACTTCATCCGGAATGGGCTTATCGACATCCAACGCGTCCATAGGACTCAAAAACAAATTTTCTTGGCATGCGACGCGACGAATGCGGAGGCGTGTGGCGTGGTCAACGTAACATTCTACATACAAGACACCCTGTACGAAGCAGAATGCCTAGTAATACCGAACTTACGAGAGGACCATATACTGGGACAACCATGGTTGTCGAAGCATGAAGCGGTCGTGGATACTGCGCGGAAATGCGTCCATCTGGGACGAGAGTTACGACAAACCACTTACTGGTCAGAAACCTTCGCGCGGAACAACGTTACCCAGCCGCCTGCACAGTTGTTAGAACACGTCGCGCAGCCGGACCGCGAACAATACGAAGAAATATTAGGACATTACGTCGAAGTCTTCGCAGAAGCCGACATCCCGTCCACCACGATTTCAACGCAACACCGAATACTATTAAAAGACGAAACTCCCGTTCGAGCGAGAACCTACCGCTGCTCGGAGGAGCGGAAACGGATTATAAACGAGGAGGTCTCGAAGATGCTTAAGCAAGGCATCGTGCGGCGGAGCGCGTCTGATTATAGTAGTCCGATCGTGATCGTTAAGAAACGTGATGGCAAACAACGTTTTTGCGTGGACTATCGGCTCCTTAATGCACGCACAAAAGTAGAAGTAAGCCAATTACCGCCTATTGCCGACACGCTCATGGAACTGAGAACAGCAAAAGTGTTCACTACGCTCGACCTACGGAGTGGGTACTGGCAGGTACCTTTATCGGCGAAATCAAAAAGGTACACGGCCTTCAGTACTCCCGACGGAGCGACATACGAATTTCAAGTGATGCCCTTCGGCCTTGCCGGCGCTCCGGGGACTTTTCAAAAACTTATGATCAACGTCTTGGAAAGTTATGTCCACAAGTTTGTTAAAGTCTACTTGGACGACGTAATCGTTTATTCCGACAACCACGAAGAACACCGGGTGCACCTATCTAAAGTACTAGAACGTCTAGCGGTGCATGGCTTACGATGCGCGCCGGAAAAATGCCAGATAGCTACTCGGCAGATTGAGTACCTCGGTCACGTGATCACCGAAACAAGGAACCTCCCGCAGCAGGAACATCTTCGAAGAATACAGGACTTCCAGGCGCCCCGAACAAGGTAAAGGAAGCGATGGCGCAGCCCTTGGAGCTTGGAGCGGTTGCAAGTAGTACGGGAATGGCGGCGGTACTTTCCCAAGAAAAAGAGGGCCAGCGCCGCATCATCGCTTATGCTTCCGCTAAATTCACACCAACAGAGAAGAAATATCATATAAATGAACAAGAAGTTCTAGCTGCAGTATGGGCGATCCGAAAATAGCGGATGTTTTTACAAGACGCGCCATTTCGCCTATTTAGCGACAACAGGGCCTTACTGTGGTTAAAACGGTATCAGGACGAACGAGCCAAGTTGACCCGCTGGGCCCTGATGTTACAAGGATACCAGTTCGACGTTACGCACGTCCCGGGAACGCGGAATGAACTCCCCGACTTCTTGTCTCGTAATCCGCACCAGACCCCCGAAGACAACCAGCCCACTTCAGACCCGAAGATGAATACGCTCTCGTAGATGGCTGTATATGGCGTAGGAGTCCTGACGCACTTTTACTATTATACGTACCGAAACCGCTTCGTCGACGTATACTCGAAGAATTTCACGATAGCCCTCACGCAGCTCACCCAGGACGGGATGAAACGTTAACGGCTATTCAACAGCACTACTGGTGGCCAAAGTTAGTACGCGACGCGACAGACTGGGTCAAGAGTTGTGTTATCTGCGCGGCTGTCAAAATCGGACCTCCACAAGCCAAGGCGCCCCTGAGACCGAGAACCCCGACCAAACCGGGGCAGGTAGTTAGCCTAGACGTCCTAGGCCCGTACGAAGAAGCCCCACGTCAAAGCCGGTACGTCGTCGTGCTGATGGTATCTTCACCAGGTGGGTGGAGGCGATACCGGTAGCAACAACCCGAGCCAAGGATCTAGTAGCGTTTATGGAGGAAGTTTTCGCCCGCTATGGCTTCCCAGCGAGCATTATTACCGACGCCGCCCGTCTCTATCAGTCTGTGAGATGAACTGGCTACCTAGAAAAGAATCACATACAAGACCATCCGTGCCTTGGTCATCGAGCGTCCAGCGCGCTGGCAAGAGGCCTTGCCAGAAGCCTTGTTTGCTTTGCGCACCCGAGCCAACGCCGCCACGGGAGCTTCACCGGCCATGCTGTTGTTTGGCCAAAATCTACGACGTCCTGGTGATTGGGCGGTACCTGACGCCGCCAGAACCCCGCAACGAACGTTTAGCCAGAGCCCGCCGCCGACAAGAAATATACCAACGAAATCTATTCCCGGAGCCTCGAGAAGCCCCACGTCATTATCAACGAGGAGATTTAGTCCTCACTAAAACCAGACCTGGCAACCCGCCGTTCGCACCCAAATGGTCAGGGCCATATCCAATCACCGAAGTCCTGGGCGACAGCGTGTACGTGGTAGATCAAAATGGCAACGCTCAGCCTATCCACGTCGACGATCTACGTACACCACCACCTCCCCGAGCTAACGATATGGACGAGGTNTTTTAGAGCAATCACACAATGTCACTTTCGTAGATTTATATCACTATATCCCGTACTTGAGAATGAAGATTAACTTGTAACTTGTTAAGTAGTTAGTATTGAACTAAAGGACTTCGGCGATGAACTGATTTCAAAAACGAAAAACCAGCCCTTTTATTTAGAAATTTTCGGTCATTAAGGGTGATTCTCCCCTAACTATTGCGTATTTGCAATCATGACATCATGCTTTGCAATCTCTCATCAGATTTCACATCTTTTTAGAACTTTCTAGAAAGTTTCCTCAAAAATAGCAAAAGTAAACTGAGGGTTTCGATACTCGATTCTGATTGGTCCCGGCCTTGGCGAGGAGCAGAATACTGACATCTGATTGGCTGAAGGCTTTAGTATAAATATTAAAGTGGTATAAAACGCAATTTTCGATTTTGTTTCGTTCATTTGCATAGTAGCCCTTTGGTCTACAACACCCCCCTCCTTTTTTTACACTTTTTTCTACCCAGTCTGGTTCACACAACATCTTAAAATCTAAATCCTTAAAACTAAAAAATTCTTAAAACTAATATTTACAAAGTAGAGCAAACGGCGAACGGTAATTTTCACCGATGTTTCTAAAAAATGTATACAAAATATTTGACTATACGTTCCGGCGTTACTGATCAACTTGAATTTGACGTAATATATCGCTACACATATATATTACCTAATCCGTATCGATGATTACCATTCGCGAACGTCTCTTCTTCCTCCGATCAGGTACAACCGAAGCTATAGCGTTCTGGTAGGATATCAGGCTCTGGGATCGGGAAGCGTCGCTATCGGCAGGAGGTCCATCCAAATCAGCGGAATTCGACCCTGTGTGATCCTTGGCTTCTGACTGACGACTACGGGAGCTACCGCTGCCTAGAGGTCCAGTTGAGGAACTTGTAGAGCATTAGGACTGGGCATCTGCGTCTAAGTTTCCTAGTGGTGCGGGGCGTATGTCATCTACATGTATTGCAGTCTGGCGTCCATTTTTGTCTATCTCATAGACTTCATCGGATAATTTGACATTTATCCGGAAGGGTCCTTCCCATGAAGGAGCAAAAGGTCGTTTACGTCCAGCTGTGGTCCTGGTCAACACTCGATCTCCGACGTTAAATATGACTTTGGGACGTCGTCCAGGTGGAGCGTATTTATCAGCATAGGCTTGCTGACGGTCTTGGGTTAGTTGTAGGGGCGGTCTTTTTAGCCTTACCCTTTTCCTGTGGAATTCGGGATTCTTCCAGGAGTCGACTTTGGGTAATTCGTAGCCAAGTAACAGTCTGCTGGGTGTGGCTCCAGTGGCTGCGTTCTTACGGGAATGCAGACAAAACAACGTCTCAGGAAGTAGTAAGTCCCATTCACGTTCGGGGTTGTTATGGGCTAGAATTCTCATGGTCTTCTTCAACTCTTGGACCTTCCGTTCAACAGGATTTGCTCGTTGGTGTTCTACGGCGGAAAACCGTAGTTCGATGTTGTTTTCATCACAATAGCGGATGAACATATTACTAACGAAAGGGGCTCCATGGTCCGTGATTATCCGTTTAGGTCGTCCATATCTGCTCACAATCTCGGATTGTAGAAACTATAACACGGTTTTGGAGAGGGAATTCGGCGTGGCTTTGGCCTCTATCTATTTCGTAAATAGGTCCTCGCAAATTATGATGTTCCTATTCTTTCTGGGGGTTTCTGGATATGGTCCTAATGTGTCTAGACTGATAATCTCAAATGGTCCTGATGATAGCTGTGGTCTCATCGGAGCTGATGTTTGGAGTTGTCTCGTTTTCATCTGCGCGCATACTAGGCAATTCTTGACATATTCGGCCACGTCTGCCCTTATGTTCTGCCAATAGAAATCGTCCTGGATGACTCTTAACGTCTCGTCGCGTCCTGGATGGCAACAATCTTCTTCGTCGTGGTACCGGTGCATGACGGTTCGTCTTTGGCTGCCGGGGACGACTATTCTGGGTCCGACTGCATGTCGAAACTTGAAGAACCCGTCGGTTACTTCATGCTGCAGGAAGAAGTCTTGCTCATCTTCAGTGTGGGGACGAATTTTGTTAAGGCGTTGCCATTGACTTTTCATCTTGGATAACTTCAGAGACTCTTCTTGGGCTTCGCGAATTATGTGGAAGATGTCTAAACATGTGACCTGCTTGGCGGCGATTTGATTTACTTTCCGTATCTCCGGTGGTAACAATTGATCTACGTCGGGAAGGTACTTTTCTAAGGTAGCTTCCGGGTGGCTACTTAGATAATCTGGAAGTTGATTACTTTTCCCAGGGCAGTGTTCGAGATGAAAGTTGTAGGTTTGTAACAAGAGCGACCATCGAGTAAGTTTGCTTTTACCATCTTTATTCTTCTCCAACCATAGCAGAGAGCGACTATCAGTCCGCAGAATAAAGGGTAAGTCCTCTAGGTAATGCGTATACTTCTTGATGGCCCATACAACANTTAGTCACGTTCATGGAAGAAGTTTTCGCCCGCTACGGGTACCCAGCGAGCATTATCACCGACGCCGCCCGTCTCTATCAGTCCGTAAAATGGACCCATTACATGGAAACCAATCACATACAGGGTTACACGGCGCCAGTGTATCACCAGAGGGCCAACCCGGTAGAACGCCGTATTCAAGAACTCAAGAAGACCATCCGCGCCTTGGTCATCGAGCGTCCAGCGCGCTGGCAAGAGGCCTTGCCAGAAGCCTTGTTTGCTTTGCGCACTCGAACCAACGCCGCCACGGGAGCTTCGCCGGCCATGTTGCTATTTGGCCAAAATATACGACGTCCTGGGGATTGGGTGATACCCGAAGCCGCCAGACCACCACCAGAACCCCGCAACGAACGTTTAGCCAGAGCCCGCCGCCGACAAGAAGTTTACCAGAGAAATCTATTCCCTGAGCCTCGAGAAGCCCCACGTCATTATCAACGAGGAGATTTAGTCCTCACCAAAACCAGACCTGGCAACCCGCCGTTCGCACCCAAATGGTCAGGGCCATACCCAATCGTCGAAGTCCTGGGCGACGGCGTGTACGTGGTAGATCAAAATGGCAACGCTCAGCCTATCCACGTCGACGATCTACGTACACCACCTCCTCCCCGAGCTAACGACATGGACGAGGCCCCAGCCGATCCTCCAGAGCCTGGAGAACCCGACGACGACGGCACTGCCAGCCGTATTGGGGACGAAGATGACGTGGTGGTTCACCCCGAGCCACTTCCTGACATTCCAGCCCGTGTCGAGTTGCCTAGCCGACCCACGACTCCGACGTCACCACAGCCAAGTTGCTCAGTTCCCCACGAGCCGCTATAACGTACACGAGTATGGCATCCCAGTACCAGACCGCCGCCGCAGCCCGGAGATCGACCACGTAGGCGTCGGTCCGTAATGGTCATCACGTTTCCCACAGCGAGCAAAGCAGCCCACGCCGAGCCACCCGACGACCCCGACGCGAGTGCCGCGGATACGGTGTCAGTGCGCCGGTGACACCACGAGTGCTTCGACAAAAACTTTGATTTGGACTCGATTCTATTTTGATAACACGTTTTGCAAGTTGAATCGACAAAAACTTTGTCATACAGTCGAACAGCACTTGCAGATCGTCATAAAAACTTTTGTAAATATCTTTGATTGAGAATTTATCTTTTGTTAACTGTTTTTAAAAAAAATTTTTATGTTCTACTNCTCTACCAAGTTCAAATTCAAAGTCTTTTTTAGTCCTTTTTCTATTGACAGTTCAATGTTCCACACACTATCTAGTCTTTTCTTACTTACCCGCACTACTACGGTCAGTTTATAGTCCACCGATGAATCCTACCTCACCGTTGGCACTCACTTTGCTTTTTAAAACAAGTTAGGTCAGTTATTATTTATCACTCTGTATACAAATTTACTAGATATGACTTAACTGCCAGAATAGTTCTTTAGGCAATGTGAACACAAGTCTTTTACTTTATTTCACTATTTCAGGTTCAACTCACTTCTAGAGACGATACTGAAGGTATCGTTACAACGTTGGAGATAAATAAGGCCACAATTAGCGTTGACACATATATTGTCAGGTAAGTAGATTGTTTTTACACTAANAATTTTCCAAATCTACATCTAGATCAAATAAATACTAATAAATTATTTGAAATCCAACAAAAATTGGAAACACAAAAATTAAAGGTAAATGCAATTTCTGAAAATCAGTTATCCCAAAAATTAAATATAGGAATGATAATATTGTATGTTATTTTGATTACTATTGCATTGTATTTTATTATAAGAAAAATTGTAAATCCTAAAACAACCAAATCGAAAAACAAAAATAAAAATAATGATACTGAAATTAAAATTTAAAATTATTAAAATTGTAAATTTTAATCTTATGGGGGACGAGTTATGTCACCTGATGATCATACGATGTCACATGATGATCATACGATTATGTCACCTCATGTTGGTTGTTAGAAGATCTTCAGAATGCAAGATCAGCAACACCGATGTTATAAATCTACTGAACTTGCATATCCAGTTGTTCATTCACTATTCATTTGCTGTTCTTTTAATACCTTTTGTGTAGTGATTGTTCCCGGAGTAAATAAATTAATTTCTTCAAAAGAGTGTTTTATCTACGAAAAACCTAAGTCGCACGATGGGCTTATTGTTGACGCACACTTGATCGGCACGCACGTAGTTGTCCTGTGCACTGGTGTCGATAAGGGCTTCTTTAATGTTTCCGTCGAGGTACACTTGACGCGGCAAAGTTCTTTCGCGTACATCGTTGCACTCGCGGTTATGGTCTTTGTACAGATCTTCTACCTCCAAATGGTAGAATGGATCCTCGTCGAACGCGAGTTCCGTTTGCGTCGCGGTTGTCGCGGTGGTGGCGATGCGCGGTGAAACTTCGTTGACTATTGAGGGTTGCTCGCAGAGGAGGTCGGAGGGCTGCGAGGAGAGATGTTTTCTCCGACCCTTGGTCCGTTTCCCTGCCGATTTCTACATTCGCGACCGAAGTGTCGTCCTCCGCACTCGCGACATGGGGGCGGTAATCGGTAATCCTGTCCTGGTGGTCGGCGGTTTTCGTCCAGGGGTTGCGATGTGGATGGGCGAGGTTCTAACGGCCTGAAGTTGCGGACGGTTTCTTCGATGTCGACAGCAATGGTGATGAACTCCTCAATGTCAGTGAACTCTCTCGCTTGGAGACCATACTTTATTTCGGGTAGTAGTAGAGCCTTAATAACACTAATTTTCAGATTCTTCTTCGTCGTGAGCATGACTGGCTCGTTCTCACGTTGTCGTTCTCCGTATAGTCGTGTCTTCGCAGCGGCTATAGCGGTAGTAGAATTAAATTTAGCTAAAAACCTCTCGGTGAAGGCATCAAACGTAATAGCTAAATGTTGATATGGCTCATACCAAGTCCTAGCGCTTCCGCGTAACTGGGCTATGGCTATACTAGTCCTTTCATCGTCCTTGATGACGTCGTGTTTGTTGAAGTAGTCCTGGAGACGGCTTATGAAGTACGTGGGTCTCTCATAGTCAAACCCATAATAATGGCACGGACACACGGGTCTGCTTTTTGGAGTAGCGGAAGTGATGTTCTGCAAAGCTTGAGCAAGCAAATTTACGACTTGCTGTGCAGGATCATCTCGAGAGACGGTGTAAAAGGTTACGTCACGGTCCTCGTCTTTCCTTGGCTTTCTCGGCTTAAAAGAGATCTCGGAGTCTGGAGTGATGGGGCTTATCCTGGATAGCACGTCTTCCAGCTGTTCCATTGAGACATGTCTCATACTTTCGTCGTTAGATTTCGACATTTCGTATCACTCGCGTAATCCTTTGGTTTAGTTACGGCACTACTTTTTATTTGAGGTCACTTTATTATTATTATTACTTCGAGCCCTACGTTCTGGGGGTCATGTCAACGTTCTTGTTTTGTTACACTAACTTGGGCTCGTATAACTACTTCGAGCTCCACGTTGCGTCGCTATGTCAACGCTACTGCTTTCTGTTTTACACCAGTTGTGGTTCGGAATGAGTTGTCTGAGCTTTGGCTAGTGCTTGTGACCTTAACATAAACGCCGATACAGTTAGAGCGGGTCGTGAGGTTCGTAGGTGTTGGGGTCTATCTCATCCGAGATAGGTTCGAAGTAAAGAAAGTAATGCCCGAGCAATATCAAAATTTAGAAAAATTGAGGAAAGTGGGAGATAATTAAAAAGAATTTAAATTTAATAAAAACAAAATTGAAAAATTTATGTCAGGCGCCAGTAAATTTTAAAGTGAATCTACAAACTTTTGTTTCCTAACCGGATTCCTCTTAAATCTAGGTCAGGTATGTATAACTGTGGATCCTTTCTGATCCTGAAGGTAAGTTGGAAAAATAATTTAGGCAAAAATATTTTCCTTGAAAAATAAAGGACTAAGTTCCTTTGGGAATTTAAAATTGTTTTAAATAAAAAAAAATTTTCAAAAAGTAACAGTTTTTTGTAAAAAAAACTAAGTTTGACTAATAAAAAAGTTTATTCAGAAAATATATTTCTGAGGTTATGTGCGAAAAGTAAATTTTGAGTTCAAAAAAAAATTATTTTGAAAAATTATCCAAAAATCTTTTTTCGAAAATTTATTTTCGACTTAAAAAAATTTTTTATTATTATTATTAAAACTTGGGAAGGTTTTTCTTCAAGAAAAACAAGTTTAAAAAAGGTATAAACTATATTACAATAACTGTACAAATAATATTTTTCTAGAAGAGAAAAATGACAATGAAATTAACACTGTTAGAAACCTATTAATCTAACAAAATAAGTAATAGTGATTCGCTGGAATAATCTCTGCAACGAAAATCCAGGAAACAACAAATTCAACTACCAGACCGTAGAAAAAAGAGTACTAGGTATATGAAAATGAACGTTACTAAACTTATTTAACTTATTACAAAAAAAATCGCGGAGCTTTTACTAACCACTTTTTATGTAATCCTCTGTATAATCCTTTCGGCTTTTCCGAAAACCTGCACTAAAAAACTTTGTCGGTTTGAGTTCCGATCCAACTCTTTAATTACTGAAGGTAATTAGCCAATTTAACGAGCACTTTGTATGTCGAAGACTGGTAAAACTCGGAGCAATCACACAATGTTACTTTCGTAGATTTGTTTCACTTTATCCCCCGTACTTGCGGATGAAGACCAACTGGTAACTTGTTGAGAAGAACTAGGTTGTAAACTAAGAATGGAAACTTTTTGAACTTCGGCGATGAACTAATTTAGAGCAATCACACAATGTCACTTTCGTAGATTTATATCACTATATCCCGTACTTGAGGATGAAGATTAACTTGTAACTTGTTGAAAAGAACTTAGTTGAAAACTTAGATTTCATTACTGAAAAACCAGCCCTGTTATTTAGAAATTTTCGGTCATTAAGGGTGATTCTCCCCTAACTATTGCGTATTTGCAATCATGACATCATGCTTTGCAATATTTCATCAGATTTCGTCATCTTTTTAGAACTTTCTAGAAAATTTCCTCAAAAATAACAAAGGTAAACTGAGGGTTTCGATACTCGATTCTGATTGGTCCCGGCCTTGGCGAGGAGCAGAATACTGACATCTGATTGGCTGAAGGCTTCAGTATAAATATTAAAGTGGTATAAAACGCAAATTTCGATTTTGTTTCGTTCATTTGCATAGTAGCCCTTCGGTCTACAACACTCCGGCGACATCCCCCCCGGTCCTTGACTTTGCTAACGCTTTGTCTGACTTTTTATTGTCAAACAAATCACCTCTGGTACAAACCTAGAACATCAAAACAAATGCATAAACAGAAACATTTTCAAACAGATAAGGAACATAAACAGTTTTCAAATATAATCAATATATGAACAAATAACAAAACAATAGAACATTTCCAAAACAATAAACAAGAACGATATGTACAAATATTTACAAGTTTTGACCGCCCTGCATATGTATCGAAACGTCTGGGTTTACAAAGGTTTGGTTGACGTTCGCGTATGCAAGACGGAGTTATCAGAAGCAAGGGTCAATCAGAGTCAGTAAAATCGTCGCACTCGCGCACAGACGGCACTAAAGTCGTTCCGCGGCACTCGCGATCGTCACCTTCCACGCACTGCACCCGCGACATCGTCCCACTGGCGTTGCTGGGGCCGGGCTCCGCTGTCTCGATGTCGGCTGCCTGGCTGATCGCTGCGGTGATGTCGCTGGCTGGATCGGCGTGGGTCGTCGTTGGGGATCGAACGAAGATACGAGACCGGCGTTTACGTGGCCGCTCGCTGGTCTGCGACGGCGGTGGCTGCCTGGACTGTTGGTCGCG